ATTTTGCCTAGTTATACCGTAGTAGCTGATGCATGGAAGTTCGAGTATTCATAACAACCTTCAGACCAAACCTCAGGGGGTTTATTCTGAAGGATTTCCTTGAAGTTCGTACATTAATTGTTTTCGGAAAGTAAACAGGACAGAAACTGGAAACTGTGAATTATATATGAGAAAACACATGGGGACCTACTGAGGAGCTGCGTCAGATAGCCGCACAAAATCGGCGAAACACGTGCTTTAAGCTAGTTCCTATGCCGTCAGTATGACACGATAGTATTTGTATATATATTTCACGAGCTCAACTATCTCCCTACGAATATGAGAATTTTAAATGACATCTATTGTTTCCTCAGGCACACAATTTAAACAAGGCGTTCTCCAGTATATGACGATTTCGAGGATTCGGGTATTCCGCCTACCGACTGTCTTCGAATTTATTAAAGCATAGAGAATGTAAAGGCCTACTGCCTTAGTGCCTAAAGTAGAAACAACAAAGATAAGTGAGACTGAAATGGTCATTTCTGGTTAACTAGCAGGAGGCACTAGGTTTGTTGTCAGTCTTACTTGCTTACCGGACGTAAACGTTCGCTCGGGTGTCTTACAAACCACCCCAGATTAAGTCTAGGATGCGCGTAAGCTCATATTCCCATCTATTATGCTTGTTTCAAAAATAGGATGCATGTCAGCTATTGGTACAGTTATAGGACCGTATTACTAGAATATAGTATCCGCTGGTCTTTTTTAATATGATTACCAGAATTAGCACTCTTAGCAATGGCATATTACCCCTAGGAGCAGTATCGTAACCCAAACTTAGTAAAATATGACAAAGCTTTTGGGGGAGAAATGTGAGAGGGGGGAAACTAAGGCGGGCCCTGATGTTTTCCGGGCACCAAACATGTATTTACTCGGAAAAGCTTAGACCCAGATTCACCGCCCTTGATGAGTTCGAGGGTATATGAGCCCCGGCATTGACTTTAATCAGCGTCAACTCTGACAAATACTAACGTTAGTTAGTAGTAGTAGAAGTAGTAGTAGTAGTAGTAGTAGTAGAAATAGCAGTAGCGGTAGTAACATTCTTGGTTTCCACGGGCCTGTCTTGACACCTACTGAAGATGAGTGAGGGTAAATAGTGCGGTATCACCAGCGCAAAAAGACTACTGTCCTTTAAGACTAAGTTATGCGGTGTTTCTGGCCTGCATAGGAGAAAGCGGCCTACACCCGCTCCTATTCGGTCATCTTGACATTTTATTGTCACCGGTTCAAGCGGGGAGAGGGTTTGGAGTGAGATAAACAGTTGCACGTCTATTTCACTTAAATCTCGTCTCTGTCTCCAGTCACCATCCCCGCTCTTGGGCATAT